GTGCTGATAATGGACCCCAGTTCTACAGGAACGATGCAGCGGATACAGAGTGAAAAGAGCATCCTGGATGAACCAGACTCTCCTCTAGAGGTTAGCCTCATGAAATGATACATGTTTTTTTCTGCCTTTTATGCTTCATGATATTCTGGAGGTAAATAGACAGACATTCCATTAGATGTTAGGAAACTACATCAGTTACAGTTACAATTTTAAACATAACCAGTATCTTTTAGCGTTGATGCGTTGCAAAGTTTTTATCAACTTACATCGCCGTTCAGCACCACAGACAGCGACACCTTAATTTTTCAACTTCAGCATTCCAGAGTCCTTTTCATTAAGACTGGACTTAATTTCTGTAATTCGTGTCAGCTTTAATTTAGGATATATTTATTTTGTAATTGCACAATGTAATTTTTTACTAAGATGTTTCAATATATAATTAAACGATATATGCTGTAAGCTGCAGATATCCTAAAATCTTTAAATTTAGGATACTCGAGGTTTAGATGAGACTTAATAGCTTGGCTTTACACTGAATTCATTGTTTTTGAGAATGAATGTTGTAATTTGTATTTTCAACTCAAAGGGTCGCTGTTGGCAAGGGTGTTGCGATTTGGCTGGATGTTTTTTATTCCTCTGTGTCTTCCCTTTTGCGTGGAAATATTCGACGTACAGACAGAAAGACTGTTCGGGTTTATAAGAAGCACTGCAAGGAATTCTATACCTGCTTACACCGTTTGATTCTTATAATTGGAATGCGAACGATTTTTTTTCTGTCTTCATATTCTCTCCATGACAAATGCTTCTTTTTTTAGTGGAGAAGGAACGGAAATCGGGTCTTGCAGAACAATGAGACGGCAAGTACTGTTGTTTCTCTCAGCCCTATGTCTCAAATACGTGCTCGGGCAGGTCAGCTACTCCATTCCCGAAGAAATGGCCAAAGGCTCTGTAGTTGGAAACATAGCTCATGATTTAGGTTTAGATCTTAAAAGGTTGAAATCAGGTAACGCTCGCGTTTACACGGGCGGCGGTGTAGAATACATCGGGCTGAATAAAGAAAGGGGGGTCCTGCTTGTCGAGCAGCGGATAGACAGAGAGGCTTTATGCGGAGAGACGACGCCTTGTGCCTTACATTTCCAGTTAATTTTGGAAAATCCAATGGAACTGTTTCGGGTAACAGTGGAGATTACGGACATAAATGATAATACCCCCACGTTTACCAATTCAGAAAAACGTTTCGAAATTAGCGAGTCCGCTGTGATAGGATCGAAATTCGTGTTAGAGAAAGCAGTAGATTCCGACATAGGCATGAATGGTTTACAACAGTACTCACTTGCTCCAAGTGATCATTTTGTATTAAAACTAGAAAGTCAGCCAGACGGAACTAAAAAGGTGGAAATGGTTCTACAGAAGCCTTTAGACCGAGAAAAGAAGGATTATTTGTCCCTGCTGTTAACTGCCATGGATGGAGGAGAGCCGCAGATGTCAGGGACAATGCAGATATTTGTCACTGTATTAGATGTGAATGATAATGCACCGACATTTGCCAAACCGTTATATAGAGCAAAACTGCAGGAAAATTCTCCTAAAGGCACCAGTGTTACAACTGTAAGTGCATCTGATAAAGACATCGGTTCAAACGGAAAATTATCATATCTGATATCTACAAGCAAACGTGTTCTATCTGAACTGTTTAATATCAATCCAAAGACTGGTGAAATTATCCTAGTCGGGGAAATAGATTATGAAAAAGCAAACTCTTATCAAATTGATATTGAAGTTGTAGACAGCGGTGGGCTCTCTGATTCAGCGAAAGTGATAGTTGATCTCATTGATGTAAATGACAATAGTCCTCAAATAAACATCGTTTCTAAATCAGAGTCCATATCAGAGAACTCACCAACAAATACTGTAATTGCTATGTTAAGCATAAACGATCCAGATTCCGAGAATAACGGGAATGTTGTGTGTGATATAAATGATAGCATTCCCTTCAAAATACAGACTACTGTAAATGGGTTTTATACCCTAGTTATGGAGGTTGCTTTAGACAGAGAAATGGC